TAATTATCACATGTAATTGTACTGTTTATGTGTTGAGGGGATATTGATATTTCGTAAAAAATTTGTAGTAAAATAGAATTTTTTCCCCTTACACCATCCTTAGTTCCTGCTGTCCGGCAATAGTGCGTAGAATAAAAAACTTGGGAATTTGTTTTAAGCACAAACTTAAATTATGCACGAGGATGTATTTCAGGAAAATATTATAACTTCTATAGGATGCCCATAAAGTAATAGAGTGGATCGGGGATGATTTTAAATGGAACACCTATTGCATTTTTTGGCTTCCTTCCTTATCACTTTATATAATTCTGAGATATGGGTTCATAGTTATTAAATATGTTTTGATAGTTTCAGAGATATAAACAGTTAAATAAAAAATATATTTTTTCAAGCTTCCTTAAACAAATTATTACAGATAAAGAAGATGTCCTGAAACCTCAAAACCTGGCCTCAAACTATATTAGTATTTACTTTAGATGGTCTATACTATTTTGCCATAAATGTAATCTTATAAAGGTATTCAAAATTATACGCCAAACTTTCTGAAATATAAAAATAATTTTTCTTTGTTTCTTAGGAATATAAATAAATATTTTTTTTTTTTTTTTTTTTTTTTTTTTTTTGTTTGTTTATTTAAATAACTATAATTGATAATTTGGTTCCCCTCACCTAAAAAGTCCTCGATATGATTTTCCTAAATTTTTTCTTTAGTTGTTTTTTTTGGTTACTCCTCTTGTTGAACCTAAATTGATTATTATTGCCCTTTCTGATTGTAATTCAGTTGTGTGTGTGTTTAATTTAATTAAGTCATTAACCTAAGATGTCTATGATAAAATAATTTTAACTTAAAACAAAAACAATTTTTTTAACTTTTTTAATTTGATTTTTTTTTTTTTTTTTTTTTTTTTTTTTTTTTTTTTTTTTTAAAATTGTTTTAATCATTTCTGTGATTATGAACTTTCTAGGCCTGAGGATAGGAATTAAATGAGTCCCGAAACATGTCGCCCCAATTTTAAATCAAATTAAATTTTTGAAATACTAAACATCTTAAAGATTGTGGTTTTTTTGAGTCCCCCTGCTCCTCGTTAGAGGTTTTACATTGATATCTCAGGAAAAATAAACTCACATTTTAGGTTGGAGAAACTGCTTTAGTTTAACCTTTATATTAATTTTTATTAGATGAAGAATTAAAAATATAAGAGCAAGTTTTGTATTTAAAGTATTTCAAAAATTTTTAATGATTTTGCAGATACCATGCAGGATTATTTCATGGCTCTTTTAACGGTAAAATACGAAAGAAAAATCATCGGGTGGCTTTGATAAAAAATCCATCCAAAGTAAATACCTATTATAGTTTTGATTTCAGGACAGTTTTAGTATTTTTAATATTTTAAAAAAAAAAAAAAGGCTAAAAATATATATTTTTTTGTCATATTGTTCTATCTCAGAAACTATCCATATTATATTTAGGTACTCATATCTTAGTATTAGTCATGTAAAGTGATCTGAAAGGAAGTAAAATGCAATGAATATACAAAGGATTTCCATTTAAAAAAAAAAAAAAAAAAAAAAAAAACACTTTTTTGAGCCATCCTATAGAGGCAAATTTTTTTTTCCTGAAATACATCTTTTAGTATTATTTAGTTTAGGTTTGCACTTAAACCAAAATAACAACTTTTTTATTTTAGGAGCTATAGATGTCTTGAATGCACTATTGCTGAACCTGTATAATCAATTGAACTGCAACCCTTACGTTTGAGTTTTGAACATTTTTTCTTATGCCAAAAATACCATTGACATGTTAATTTTGTTATGCTTATATTTTCAAAAATATTTTTTTCGCAACAATTAAGTGTTTTATTTCACTGTTTAGTTCCTCATTTGTCGTTTCACGTATATCGTATTTTTCGTAGGTGAAAGTCATAATGGCTACTTATTAATTTAAAAAAGTCATTCCACCTCTAGACAGTGACATAATCCACTTAGAAATGAACCCTACCAATATTTAATTTCATATTTACCATTGTGAAAGTGGTGCAAAATCGACATTAAATATATATTCCGGCCGTTACGTAAAATATATTTATACTGTCACAATTTTTATAATATGTAATACCTGTATAGAATTTGTCTGGTGTTGATATCGCTTAACCAAACCCAACATATATTTAACGTCGTTTTTTTTTATCGCATGTAGCAGTTATTACTTTAATAGTCTTTAGATTACCGCGAGGAAATGTCAAAGACATATTTACAGTTATCAAAAGAACCATTAGTTTTTTCTAATGGTGTATTATGGTAGATAATACGAACACGATTTGTTTCTTGCGTTTGAATGCATTTTTTTCTCTCACATAGAAAATGTCCTTAACGGTGCTTTAAGCCATGCGTTTCTAAGAGTCGTTTGATTACTTCTGGAAATATGTGACTCGCATTACGCCATTATATTGTTTGTACTTGACGATAAGATCTTTTGCAACTTCGCAGATGTTAAAATAGGCAAAAGTTCAGAGTAAACGTATGTCCGTGGTCGCCTGATGATGCGGCGCTCGATTCAGCCACCCCTGAAGCAATGTCACAGTTCGTGTCTGGAGAGGGCCTCTGATTTTGATGTCACGACTCCTACCAGAGGGCGCCACCTGCTTTTTAACCCGGTTTGAGAGTATCAACTCTTTCTGTCTCGTACCTGCATGAAACTACCGTGAGCAAGAAAATATACATTTACGACGCTTTCGTGCAGCCCTGGTAAAAATCGCCACAGAGTAAAGGTTTTCAGAGATATTTCAATCGAAATAATCACCTGATGCTGGTCACTGACATAAATTAAACATGTTTAGTATTAGTATTTATTAGACTCCGGAGACTATAAATTGAAAATGTTTTGCACCAAATGTTCAACAAAACTGTTTTGTCATCATTTTTGCAGAAAAAAATTTTTCCAAATTTATTTCGGTGAAATAACTATCTACTAAATGTGTTTATTTTTCGTCAAAATGACATGTATTGACCATTTCCGTTCAAAATATCTTGAGAACGGTTAAGCTCGTAGCCATTTTTATAAAGAGATATTTTTACGTAAAAAATCATGGAGATGTATTATTTTTTTTCCTCGGTAGTTTTATCTTCCTAAAATCTTCCCTCAGTAGTTTTATATGGTGGCACACGAAAAGTTGTTACGCTTCAAAACAGTTAAACACATATAAATAGTAGACAAATTGCCATCAAAATCAAAATCAAAAAATCAAATTTCTCATGTCAAAACACCCAGACACCACAATTTTCTTTCTAAATATTAACGTTATCAGAAATTATTTGGAAAAAATCGAAATAAAAAATGAGATTTCTACACCTGTATCTCCGAAACTAAGCATTTTAGAATACATAGTGAACTTTTACCTATTTTTATCTGCAGAATATGCTGCTTGAAGTTTCCTAGGTCACAATTGGACCAATCTCTGTATAACATAAAAATTTTTGAATTTGACAGTGTAAAAAATATGAGAGTTGCGCATAAACATTTTTTAAGTGTTTTTTTTTTTTTTTTTTTTTTTTTAAAAACATGTTTTATTTATCTGCTGATGATACTAACATGGTTAGCGAACAGAAAGTGTCCAGTGCAAAATAAAGTAAGTGTTTTGGTGTGTATTGTAAGAATTAGTGTTTTATTTTGCTGTTTTACCTCACCAAAGGTTCCACCCTGAACCGTAATAAAATGAATATTATGATTAATTAAATTATTATGAAATGATATGGAAAATTGAAATTCTACGAATTCACAGGAAAAAGAACTTAACCTCACTATAAATTGAGCATTATTAAAAACATATTTAGTTTTTTATCATTTTTGAAATATTTCAAATTGAAGACTATAATAAATTATACAGGGTGAGTTTTAAATAAATGCAAATATTTTCAGGGGTGGTATATTTCGACTCCAGGAACACGTCTTTGAGTTTTTTTTCGCAAAAAAACATGGTGAAAATCGTGCATTTTCTTTTAAATTTCCCTGTATATTTTTCGAAAACATTTAAGAACTGCCTGTTCACCGCAAATTTTCCCACGGTATAAATTCTTAATTTCTGATATTACCATGGTTACAGCTTTACTCTATGGTTACGGCACTAAAAGGGATGCAAATACAGAAAAAATCCGGTGGCTCTCAAAATTTTCCCATAAAAAATCATTTTTTTTTAATTTTCAAACTTAAATAACTCCGATATTTTGGACTTATTTGAAAAATGGTAAAGAGAAAATATGTTTCTTTTATCGAGATCTACCAGCCCTGAAAATATTAGCACTTATTTAAGACCCACCCTGTATATAATTCCATAATATTTATCACTGGATTAAAATGGAAAAACTTGCTCCCGGACTACTCAATTCGACTCCGCATTTCTTTTCTGCGTTTCCTTTATAAAAATTGACGTTTGGTATCGGTCGCCTGTCTCGGCCGAAGCGGTGAGAAATAATTAAACCGGTAATTAACCCATTTTATCCCATTGGTGCATGAATGCACCAGCAACTTATGAAAATCAAATTTCGATTAAAATATTGTTTTGGAGCCTAGATTTTTCTACCCATTCGTTGATAATAGATTTTTGTTAATAAAAATACTTATTGAGGCTTTTCTTCTCCTCGGGTAATAAAAAATACAAACGTATAAAATGTGACAAAATAAATCTGCAAAAACTATATAATGGAATTTTGAAAAATTTCCACATTTTAATAATTATTTCCATTTTTTTATTACTACTACTAATCTGTCATGATCTTCCGTTTTTATGATAAAAAGGATGATTTACCACAGTCTCTATAAAAACCTTAATTTTTCTCCAAAATATTAGTGGTGCATTCGCGCACCGCTGGTAATAAAAATAAACTAGAAGCCGAATTTTGCCGGTCTTGACAAGTTTTGACGAACGTGTGCACAGTCATAATAATCGAATAAATGCGTTATTATTAGTTTGTGTTTCGTGTTATATGCATGTAAGTTAGCTAAGATGCCTTATAAACGATTTTTGACGCAAAGACAATTAGAAGAGGAATTGGAAAGTGTTGTTTTTGAGCTGGAAAATGATAATAATGGTAAGAAATCACTTACTTACATCTATAGTTTATAATTCAATAAAAATTTTGTTTTTTATTATTAGTTGTACTGGATGCAGTTTATATACCTCCAGACACCGATGCTTTGACAGATGAAGAAGATATAGATGATGAGAATATATTGGCGGAAACGGCAAAGCCAAACGATATTGTCGGTACTTTCGAACTTCACATCCCTAGCTCTTCCAATTCTGTAGATGTCGATCAAAATGTACGAAAACAATACGATTGGGACTCTTCTGATGAAGAAACTTTAGAAACCAAAAAACGAAAAATTACTGCTTCAGTTTCCCGTAATACTGTTCTTGCACCGCAGTGGCTCAAAGGAGAAATAGAATATACACACTCTCCAATATCAACTGAACATCAAGACAAAGAAAACGTAGCTGTAGCTGTAGGTGGTAAGACACCTTTAGAAGTGTTCTTTTTATTTTTTGACGAAGAAGTGACAGACTTAGTTTTGAGATATTCACATAAATATGCTGCAGATAATAATAGACATGACTTCATAGTCTCTAAGGAAGAATTGTTAAATTTTATAGGAATAATGTATCTTTCCGGATATCACACTTTACCACAAACTTCAATGTACTGGTCCACTGAGGAAGACAAAGGTGTGGGCATAGTGAAAAATTGCATGAGTAGAAACAGGTTTTATAGTATAAAACGAAATTTGCATCTGTCTGACAATGAACAATTAGACAAAAATGATAAGTTCTCCAAAATAAGGCCTTTTGTGGACATAATCAATAGAAAAAACTTGCAATGGGGAATTTTCAATTTTCATTTATCAATTGATGAACAAATGGTGCCATATTTTGGAAGGCATTCTTGTAAAATGTTCATCAAAGGCAAGCCGGTACGTTTTGGCTTCAAGCTTTGGTGCCTATGTTCTTCTGACGGGTATTTATTTTATACAATGCCATATGCTGGGAATCAAAAAAAAATATATTCTGAGCTTGGACTAAGCGGTGACGTTGTAATGAGTTTGTTGTCTGTTATCCAAAAGCCCAGCAACCATGAAATTTTTTTCGACAATTTTTTCTCATCTTTTCGATTATTTTCTCACCTGAAAAACACTGGTTACTTTGCTACTGGAACTATCAGAGAAAATAGGACGAATAATTGCCCTCTAGAAAATAGTAAAAGTTTTTCGAAAAAAGAACGCGGCGCTTTTGATATGGCATATGATAAAGATTCGAAAGTTTCAGTTGTACGTTGGAATGATAACTCTTGCGTAACGCTTTGTAGTAACGTACATAATGTGCAACCTATAAATAAAGTCAAACGTTATAATAGAAAAGAAAAAAAAGATGTTTTTGTTCCACAGCCTAATGTAATCACACAATATAATAAATATATGGGAGGTGTGGATTTGCACGATAACGGAATAGCCAATTACAGAACCAGAATTTTGGGGAAAAAATGGTGGTGGCCTTTATTCTGTAATACTTTGGACAGTATTATGGTGAATGCTTGGAAGCTTTATAATGTTGCTAACAATAGTAAAATATCTCAAATCGATTTCAAATCATATGTTGCACTACGTCTAATGAAATCTACAAGAGTTGCTGCAGTTATTAGAAACATTCCACAATCTATTGACGAAATTCGCTTTGATAATCAAGGCCACACCATTGTTTTCCACGAAACTAAGGCTCGAAGGAGATGTAGAGTTTGCCATAATCATAGTATGTATATATGTCAAAAATGTAAGGTACATTTGCATGTTCCGTGCTTTGCTACGTATCACCAAAAGTAATAATCTTTGTTACCAGTGGTTCATACATGCACCAAATAAAAGTTGATAAATTAGTTGTTTTTGAGCGTTTTAGTGTTTTATTTTATACTTCTAAGTAGAATGTAAGATAATTCCGATGTGTTAAGTGTACTTTAGTAGGGTTTTTATCAGTTAGGAATATTTTTAGAAAAGTTTTATTTAGTTTTTTATACCAGTGGTTCGCCAACGCACCACTATTATTTTTTTTAAAAAATGAATTGGGAATTTTCCAAAACATGAAATTTGTCTTTTTATATGTATAATAATAAAAGTATTTAAAAAAAAATGTTTTTTTTTATATATTTCTATCCCCGGGAATAAATGGGTTAAAGGAGGGTAATTAATTGTGACCAATGAAGGCCGGATAATTGGTCGGCGTTTCGTTTCGAAGCGGTGTTGCCACTGCTACATTGCTTACAAATTTGGACTCATTCGAAATATCTGGTTCAATTTGTATGGTATATATCAGACTTAAAACAATATTCTGTTATTTCTTTCAAAAAAATTGTCAGTTCAACTAATTTCAGAATTTTTTATGAGATTCTTCTGAGAGGAACAATAATAACTTAGGAAAGGGGATTGAATTTATTTTATTGGGTTGATTTGATTTATACCGGTTTTAATTAGATTATTTATTATTATCTTAACTTCTTTTTGATATACCACGCAGGTCAAAACGAATTTCACAATTTTACCTGACTATTTTTTTAAATGTACTGTACAGGGTGAGTCTTAAATAAGTGCAAATATTTTCAGGGCTGGTAGATCTCAATAAAAGAAACATATTTTCTTTTTACCGTTTTTCATGTAAGTTCACAATAACCGATTTATTTTACTTTGAAAATTTCCTCCTAAAAAATTTTTTTTGCTTAAATTTTGAGAACCACTGGATCTTTTTGTGGGTTTTCTTTCCTGCAAATTTAATCTACTAAATAATATGTTGCCTTATTGTCAAGAAATTATGTTTTTTAACTAAAAACTAATAAAAAATTCCAAATTTTGAAAGTTTTTTGGTGAAAGACCTCATCAGCTTTTGGGGTCGAAATATGTTTCTCTGAATATTTAATTTTGTTTAAGATTCACCCTTTATAATCTGTTTAAATAATCAAAATTGTACAGCATTTTTTTGTTAGGTTATTCACGTGATTATAAAATATACCGGGTGAGTCTTAAATAAGTGCAAATATTTTCTGAAGTGGTATATTTCCACCCCAGGAAGATGTCTATGATTTTTTTTCGCAAAAAAAGGTGTTGAAAATCGTGCATTTTCTTTTAAATTTCTCTGAACATTTTTGGAAAACTTTTTAGAACTGCCTGTTCACCGCAAATTTTTCCAAATTTTTTCTTAATCTCTGATATTACCATAGTTACGGCAAAGAGTAGATAAATAATCTACTCTTTGGTTACGGCAAAAAAGGGATCACGGAAAGGGATGCAAATACAGAAAAAATCCGGTGGCTCTCAATTATTTTTCAAGAAAGATAATTTTTTTTAATTTTCAAACTTAAATAATTCGGTTATTTTGGACTTATTTGAAAAATGCTAAAGAGAAAATATGTTTCTTTTATCGAGATCTACCAGCCCTGAAAATATTTGCACTTAATTAAGACTCACCCTGTATATCTTAAATTGACTTTGTTTGGAGCATTCTTTGTCCAAGCATTGAATTCACTTGACACCAAGTGAAATTCAATGCTTGATCTTCAACTCCTTTACTTTTTTGGGGCATCATTGGCAAATCATTACCTTTGTTTTCTCAGGGTTAATTTTCAGAGGAGGCCAGGTATATTCTAAGATCGGCTTAGGCCGTTAAGTGATCGTCATAAGGTAATTGTGGTCATAATATAAAAACAATAATTTTATATTAAGTTGAATCCATTTTCTTGTTACGTCATTGGTATCATTGGTGTAAATTTTTAATTTGGCAATTTGTTTAAAGTGAATGTATGCGAAAAATGTGGCTCGGCAACATCGTCCCGCGAAATCTTATCGAAGTACAGTTTTCTTGTTTTGCGTGGATTTTTTCGTTTGAGGATTTATTGAATTTCTCGATGTAATTGTCGATGGGGGAGGCAACTTTGAGCTCGGCAATTCGTTTAACCGATGATTTATCTTCGGTATGTAATGGATTTTTCTTGTTCTCTGGTGTACCACACACAACACCGAGAAAATAAAATCACTCTATCCTATAAATCATTCCGGTACTTTATTGGGTGTTTCTAGATAGGTACAAACGAGTTTTTGTTCAATGCTGAACGCTTTTAATTTGGGAATTATTTAGGTCAGTGGAAATGCATTTTCTTGATTAACATGTTCAGAATAAGATAAGGAAAATGTATATAATGTGGAATACCGTTTTTGGTGTCATATATTTCTCGATTTCGGAATAGATATTCTCAATACAATGATTTATAATCCAGAATGATAAATATATGTTGTCCAACGAATCAGAGAGGATTTCGACAGATGAAAGCTAAAGAATCATAGAAAATACAATTTACCTGTGAACTAAAATGACAGACACAACTGCCACTTTCAAGGAGTTTCTCCTTGGACCACCGTAGTTGTCAGACTATAATTTGATGTAGTGTGGTAAATGAATGTGTAACTTACTGTTTTAACATCCAATGTTCATCTAACATCAAAAGTTTATTTATTCTGCTATTATTTGCATTTTCAGTTAGCTTATAAGTTGATTTCATGAATGATGATAATGAACAATCTGTACAATTTTTTTAATACTTAAGATTCATTCAGAACCTCGCAATTAGTGGAATAAATTAATGGTTTCAATTACACTTTATACTTTTTAGTGTATGATCATTCACAATGTTTAAAAACACAATTAAAATTAATATAATATCCTAGCAACGGATTGCGTTAGTCAGTTGTATCCATAGAGAAAGTCTAATATCGTTGATTGAAAGAACTGAAACTGACTCAATCAACGCTAATATTTAGCTTATAAAACAATCAACTTTTGATTTCTAACTAGAATTTCTCTTGAGGGTAGATAATCAAAGGCCAAAATGACATTTCTCGCAAATTTTGAAATATAATTAGTGGAAAAATTAAAAGTCTGATAACTTTTTCCACTAATTGAAAATGTCTACCACTAATTTTGACGCTCTGCATGCTTACATTGAAATTAAAGGAACAGACTTCTATGCTAATTGAAACCACTAATTGCGAGGTTATGAATGAAGCTTTATGTTTAGATTTTATAGGTATTCAGATACACATCAACATGATAGCGCCATTTTACTAATTTTATACAGGAGGCCAATTGGACGGCTTGTTAGGGTTAGGTTAGGCCAACGTTCAAAATAAAAAATAGAGGATAAAGGGGTAGTGAAGAGCTCTAAAGAGCTACAATCTGGCCCAAATTTCTAGAATGTACCTAAAACTTATGTAAATATGAGTAACATTTATAAGTAAAAGTTATGCGGTTTTATTAAACATTGTGGCGACAGACAAACATTTTTTGGAATTTGATTTTGGCGTGTAAAAAGAGGACTTTTTCAATTCGTGAGAGAAAAGAGCAGAGTACGATCAAAAAGAGGACTGTCCTCTGAAATAGGACCAACCCAACCCTACGGCTGGTGGTTATTAAGGTTCTTTCCGTATATTTTATATTTTTACTAGGCAAATATCATAGGATTTGCCAACTTATTGCCCTGCAGAGTTTATACATTTTGTAGGGACCAGTTAGACCTACTATAATATTGTAAAATCCTGAAATTACGAAATTGGCGCTTGTCAAGTTTTTCCCCTGGACCCTTAAAATATGTTTGGTCATGTGAAAGAAAAATAATGAAAAATAAAATTCAACTAAAATTTAAAGATAGAATTGGACTTTTGCTGGAAAGTTTTATGAATGCCATGACAGTTATTTTATATTTTTTAAATATTTTTTATGCATTCGTATAAAAATATTTATTTTGTATTTTAATAAATAAATATTTTCAATACGTTTTCCAAGTATTCATAAATTCCAATTCTTGGTTAATAAAATGTTTTCATTTTAACGAAATGGTACTAATTAAACGTAAAAATGTTAACTAATTAGTTGAATGGTT